AAATCCTTAAATAATCATAGGGAAATAAGTTTTAGGGTCATGAAAGCGTACCCTAATGATTTAGCACAAAATAATCTTTCACGATTTGCCTCCAAAGTTTTCCCAAGTTCAAAAATGGAGAATATGGCTTAAACCTCGAAATTGGGAGGTCAAAACCCCTCTCGGATGTCGCTTAAGAGACCAGTAGGTTAGCTTAAGTGAACCCCACAAAAATTGGAGGTCTCACTGTTGCAAACCAGGCTCCACATAAACGACATTCGCTAAAGTGACCCCTAGTCCACTTAAGCTAACCCCGCCCAAAAGGTCAGCCTCGCTTTTGTGAGACGACCTTTGCCAAAAAGGAGATCACAAAAGTGAAGGTCCTCCGCAACAGCTAGGACTACAACACCAGAAACATTAGCCAACTCTCAAGACACTAAAAGGACCTTTGGGATTCGTTTAGAACCCTGTACACACATATCACATATGCAAATTGATCATATTCGACGTAAAGAGTCAATGGAAATATTGAAACACAAATTCATTGTCTCATTGACTCAACATCTATGGAAACCACACGAAATTAACACCATGACTAGAAAGTCTAAAACAAGCTCAGGACCTCAGAAAAATGCATGAAGACCTCACCTAGGCTTAAAATCATCCTCCAAATCCAACAAAACTCTCAGAATTCCGATCTGAGCATCCAAACCTTAAATGTTGACCAAAGTCAACCCAAAGGATAAATTTCCACAAATTTTACACTAAGAACCTCAAATCCTGACAAAGACTCTGATAAGAAACCAACAAATCTCATAGACCAGATTCTACATTCTATAACTAATAGTATTTATAGAATTCCATTCCGACACTCGAGACTCCAAAAGACTCTGAAAACCACTTTTAAGCAACATAGCCTTTCAAAATCACAACTTGCAAAATTCTCAACTTTTCATTCAAAGTTTAAAATCATATTTCAGAACTCAAACATAAAAGACTCGGGGTCAAGGTCAGATGGGGGAAATGGTAAATTCATAAAACTTTTTTAAAATGACCAACCGGGTCATTACATTATCCACCATTAAAAATCTTGTTCATCCTTGAACAAAAAGCAAAAGAAAATACTTGAATCCTCGAAAAGCTGAGGATATCTCGCATGCATATCCGACTTTGTCTCTCAAGTTACCTCACCAACTGAGCGATGCTTTTACTACACCTTCACTCATCGAAACAACAATTCTCACATCAATTATCTTGAAAACTGGATCAATCAACGCAAAACTCAATTCCAAAACTAAGGTTTGAAACCGGAATTTAATACTTAAAAACAATAATCAAGGCTTTAGGAAGTTATTAGGGAAAATCATTTCGAAAAAGGACTTAAAAACAGTTCAAAATATCCATTTTAGTTAACAACTTGAGTTCTTGAAAAAACGTCATCATTCACCAATCAAAATCTCATATTTTAATGTTAAAACCCATAAATAATCAAAGGGAAATGAAGGTTTAGGATTATATAAGCTTACCCAAGTGATTTAACAAAACCTTTCCAAAATCGTCACCAAGCGTTTCTCAAGTTCAAAATTGGAAAATGGGGCATAAACCGCAAAATTTGCAGGTCAAAAAACCCTTCTAGGTGTCGCAAAAGTGACCCTCAAAAAGCTAGGGCAACAAAAAAGTGATGCCTCCTTCACTAAAGTGAAGGTCGCTTAAGCGTAGGTCATTTAAGCGACGGGACATTCGCATAAATAAAGCCTGAACACACCAACAACTCAGCAAACTCTCAAAACATCAAAAGGACCCTCGGGATTCAGTCCTCGTACACAAAAACCATCTAAGAAAATGAATTCTACTCGACATTCCAGACTAAATGGAACCATCTAAACATGAATCTGAGGTCTCCTTGTCCCGATATCCTTGAAAACTACAAGAAACTAACTAGCGCCTAAAAAGGCTAAAACAAGCTTGGGACCTCTCAAAATTTAATTTATACCTCACCTTGGCCTAAAATCATCCTCCTAATCTAATGGAACTCTCAGAATGTTGATCTGAGCATCTGAACCTCGAATGTTGACCAAAGTCAACCTAAAGGCTATATTTTCTACTAATTCACAACTCAAGACCTCAAATCCTCAAAAAGACTCAAAAACTGAAACCAAAACACTCAAAGACTAGTTTCCTGATTATGGAACTGATGGAATCGACGGAATTTCATTGACACTCGAAACTCCAAAAGGCTCCAAAAGCCACTTTCTTAAAAATATAAGCCTTCCAAATTCAAAACTTACAAAATTCTGAACTTTTAACTCAAAGTTGAAAACCAACTTTTCAAACTCAATCATAAAAGACATGGGGTCGATATCGGGAGGGACAAAATGGTAAATTAATGGAAATTTACAACAATGACCGACCGGGTCATTACATATATATTAAGCATCACTCCTTCGATTGTTCATTTTCATTACATAGTCAAGAGTTCTTTGTTTGAAAAGTTATTTGAAAACTTAATTAACTACAATCACTAATATTTGTATATAGTCAACATTCACCCGATTTAGTTCTTCATTTTCATAGAGTAATATATATCTCTCCGCTTGGAATCTATTTGAGAATATTTAATCATGTCATTAATGTTGCAATTAATGTTACAATCACCTAATTAATCAAACACTACCGCCCCCGCCCCTCCCACCCTTCAACTGTTCATTTCATTGAATAATAAATATTTCTCTCTTATTAGGATATGTTCATCATTCAACTCTTTTGACCATTCATTTTCACTACATAAAAAATTCTTTAATTTTGGATTCTTGCAAAATTGGTGAGTTTTATCTTTTCATTTTTTCTTTCACTGTTGAATTGAGGATAAGCGTTTTAGACTAGAGAACTGTTTAGATAAAGATCTTACTTCTTAAAATTCAATTATTTGTGCCACCTTGTTTTTTTTTGAGAAATCATGTCGATCTATTCATGTCGTTTGATTCATAAAAGTTTTTACATTTATATGTTTTGATGTTTGATTGAGTCACTGGTCAATTTGTTCATTTTCTTATAATTTTTTTACTTGCTTATTCGAACCTAGATTATTATGTTGGGACAACATGTTAGTTTTAATATCACTAGATCAGTAAGTTTAAATGTATACTTCTAAATTCACATAATTTTATCTTCTCTCAAGAGGCAAATTCATGATTGAGATGGAAGTAAATTTTATTCTTCTGATTTTTGCTTTGTTCTTTTTTAGCTCATCCATTTTTTTATTTACTTCAGAATTGTGATTGTGTCTTTTCTTTGTTTTGTTATCTCCTATAGAATGGAGATCCAGTTATATAACTAATTAAGTAGAGACTAATGTTTATTATTTTTATTCTTGTTGCAGACCAGTAATATTGACAACACTCCTTCATTCTCAGGTTCTTCAGTATCAAAGGTGTTGACTGGTTTGTGGTCTATTCAGTCTTACCTTATTAAAATTGTTCAACTACCGTTCACCATTTTATGAAATATTTTGTTTTATTTGTTAAGGTCAAATTTTTTTAGTGTCCCTATATGGTGTTTTTGAAAGAAAAAAAACACTATAAAATTCTTTTACAATTTATTTGGCAAATGATTTTCTTTTTGAACTTTTTCATGGATTGTGTTTATAATTTTCATTAAAAAAATTAGTATAAAGTGGATATTAATGTAGTAAATAATTCTTTCTCTTGTTCGCAGTCAATGAAATAATAGACATGTCATTTTAACTTTTTTTATTTATTTTAGTGTATTATTTTATGGTGAAGCGGGGTGGGGTGAGGGGGATCTAATCTAAATGAGAAAATAAATGTATATATATTTTGGGTTGCACAGAAAATATGTGTTGTTAATGCTTTAAAGGATCTATTATGAATTTTTTTATCCTTTTGAACATAGGCAATTCCACTCGCAAAATTTAAATCTTTTCCAAGATTTAGAAGAGCTATGTTAAAGAGATTTGTTTATTTTCCTTCACACATAGATTTTAGGATTTAACTTTTATTGGTTCAATTTTCTTTCTATTTAATTTAACTGGTTGTAAATAATGTCAATAGAGTTTTTTTTTCCTTATTTTAATCAAGCTAGAGTTTTCGAATTTGCATAACATTGAGTTAGTTAAAAAAAACTTGACTTCTACAAAAAAATATAGCTATGAATGATGTAGGTGTTGAGGTTGGATTATTAGTTTAATGTAAAGAAAGATTATGTTATGCTGAGTTTTCATGATTGCTTTACTTTTGAAGTCAATTTCATGTTAAAAGTATTTAAATAGTTTGAAGATTATGTCCTACTGACAGGTTGAACTAGTGATCGAGGGTCTTCGCTGAGAAAACTGTATTTATTTTAGCGCCTACCTTTGATGAAGTAGTATCTCTACAACAAAAGAGACATTTAATGGCAATAGATTTATGTTTTGGAGAAAAATATTTAGTGGGAATTAAATTAATGTCATTTTATCCAGAGTCGCTAAAGACTTTAATTGCATTTACATAAAGGGTTAGTTATAGATGTTATCATATTTATTATAGCTGATAAATATGATATAGTCAACTATATTATTGTAGTTAAATAATTGTTGCTAAGTGCTTTTTTGTTGTAGTGTATTATAATTTAAAAGGATACTACCTGATTCTTGATTGTATCACGTTGAAATTTAGAACATCTTACGTTTACTCTAGAATGTTTGTTACTTCAACTTCCGGCGAACTTATTCTTACATCCTCGTGTATGACATATGTAAAAGAGAAAATTTACTCATAGATGTAACATGTTTAAGACCTTTCTATTTTTTCTCTTTGAGCATGCAACTTTTATATATTCTCAAAAACACCAATATGAAGAAGATGTGATTAATTTTATTTGCAAAGTCATGTTTGAGTAAATTTTATAAACACTAACATAAAATTTTAAGGTTCTATTTGAGGTTCGTTGGCAATTTTTTGAATTTAGTAGTGATTGAATTGTTTAGCTTTTACAGGTAACTATAATTTCCTATGGATTCTTAGATGGAAAATTACAATTCTAATGAGAGAAATAGAGTCTCCAATCAAACTTTGGATGGTAGCAATTTGAATTTTTCAAATCTCTCTAATGGCAGTGAGGAAAATGAAATAGACTTAAATGAAAGGAGCAATTATGCCAAAGGAGGTATCTTCATGTCTGGATCTTCTCATATGGTGAGTGACCTTGTAAGTGGTGTTAAAAATATTGGTCTCATGCCATCACAAAGTTTTTAAAAAAATACTAGAAGCACTTTTAAAATGCAAAACACATGACATGCTCCAACAACTTTATTTTTTCAGAGTACACACTTTCATGGAGCTTCTCGCACTATCAGTGACTTTCCAAGTGGTGTCACAATTAGTGACCTCATACCATCCGAAAGTCCTTCAAATAATTCTAGAAGCTCTCTTCAAACGCAAAATTTATGGAATGCTCCAACAGTTTCATTTTCTCAGAGTACAAACTTTCGTAGACCTTCTCGTACTGTAAGTGATTTTGTAGATGGTCTCACAAATACTAGTTCCATACCATCAGAAAACCTTTCAGACAATGCTAGTAACTTTCGTCAAATGCAAAATTTATGGCATGCTCCAACGGCTTCATTTTCTCATAATACACAATTTCATGGAGCTTCAAGTATGGATTTTGTGGAAAATAGTACACATCCAACATTCTTTGAGCAATATACAAACTATCATGGTGGTAGTTCATCTGCTTCAACACATCAATCTAATGCTTTTACCCAGCCTTCAGGCGATCCAGTGAGATATTTAAGAGAACATGGATTATGGGACACAGGAAGAGATATCTATTTCTTGAGAAATAATATTGATTCTCAATCACTTTCCCATGTAAGTGGTGAAAGTGTCGCGGTTACTTTTCTATCCTAAAATGATTACGGTCTGTGTTGATAATATCTTCACTTATCTTTTCTTTGCATATTTGAATCATAATCTTGGTAACTCTTATAATTGAGGGCTTCTAAATAATTAATTTGGACATGTAGGGTGGCATTATCACGGAGCCAGGTCACAGGGATGATCCTATTGTTATAGAGGTCAGAATTCTTCAATATCTAATGTGATTTTAGTTTTCATTTTTACCTCTTTTTATTTTACCATTGAGCTGTTTAATAGTCATATTATATGAGAATACATATTACATGGTTTCCACTTGTTACTAAATGATTTTTCCAATTCATATTATACTTGTATGAGTAGCTAAAATTATTTTGTCTAACTATAGCAAGATATATCTATTCTCTTAGTTGTCCTTTATTTTTAGTTGTCAAAAGTAATCTTCATATGTTGAATATGTTATTTCTTGTCATACATACATTTCATGAAATATGTGGTAATGAAAGTAAGCAAAAGTGGTCCATTGCAACTGAGAATTTAAAGTCACAGGATGATGAAGAAGATGAACATGGCGATGCTCAACATGATGACATTTTTTATGATGGGGAAATGTCATATGAGGTAATAAACTAAGATATAGTACATGAAAATGTGTATGATTAGAGTAATCGATCTTTTTTTCAAACAACAAGTGATTTGTATTTTAGGCGTTATTGGAACTCCAAGAACATATAGGAGGCGTGGAAATTGGATTGAAGAAAAGTAATATTTCTAAACTTCTGAAGCAGAGCAAGTACCAATCAGCCAAGATGAAAAATTATAGTGAATCTTGTTGCATATGTTTGGTGAGGACAAAAAAAACTTTGGTTGCTTCCTCTTTCACTTATAAGCTTGTCTACGACCTTATTCAATTATATGTTTTTCTATTTTGTAATGTATAGAATACTTATGATGACGGGGCAGAACTAGAAAAAATTAATTGCGGATATGAATTTCATTATCAATGCATCAGAAGGTGGCTGAAGAGAAACAATTCTTGTCCCGTTTGCAGAAGGATTGCTTTGACTCCATAAGATAGAAATCTTTGGTTCTCGTTTTAACCAACCAATTTCTCAAACCTAACATTTAGTTGATTGGTTTGGTTGACACATTACATTGTTTTGTGTCATGTTGATTGATGGAGTATGAAACGATGGAGTAGAATAATTCAAATAATAAACTATGGATGTAAATTTTCAGTTTGACATCTTTCTTAGCTTTCGGTATGAGTCATCAAATCAATCATTTTATCACTTTTAGATTGGAAAATGTCATTTTTTTACTTTTTTGGTATGGTGTCTTTTCAATATGAACTAAGGTAGTAATTAATACTTTTGAGATTTTAGTTTCCACCAAAGTACTAGTAATATTATTACCTTATAATATTTTTTATTTCTCAAATTTCTCTGTCAATCTTTCCGGCATATCAAAAAAGTAGTGACATTATTAATTTTGATAGTTGATTGAATTGTAAAATTTTGATTAATCATTTTCTTGATAGTTGAAAATGATGATGTATCATGAATCAATAATTTGTGTTATTTTTCTATGTTTTGGTGAAAATTCTGATAATTAACTCTAGAGATTTCTAATTGTTTATTGATTCCAAATATCTTATTGAAAAGTAATTTTTTCATGAACCTTATATAGAAGTGTTTTGTATAATAGTAGGTGTTTATATTTCAATATAAAATATTTGATTTCTCCGTCATGTTTATTTATTGAACAACCTCATCAAAAGGGATAGTCCTATGCACTAAGCATATGTTATGCATGGGGTCTGGAGACGTGCGTATCATTAGAATCTATTTTACATAAATTTTATCTTTTATTATTTTGGAAGAGGCTTATTTCACACCTCGAAGTTGTGGCCTTATGATTACATGGAAAAAAATTATCAGTTATGCCAAGGCTCTCTTAAATTGAGTCAACATGACATATATACCTTTTTTTGTTGATTAGTTTAGAGAGAGACCTTTACTAAAATCAAAAAGACTTTCCCACCAAAATTTAGTCAGAAATTTGTGTTATAAAATATAATTTTTCTTCACAAATTTTCCTCTATAAACAACTCACTAATTAAATTCACGCTGGAAAACAGGTTACCACTAAAATATTAGTAATCTTTCTAATTTTTTCGTGTGAAAATACTATTATTTTTTATTTTCCCTCTGTTTCAATCAGAATTTCTATGGAAATATCAACGGAATAATTTTCAGTAAAAATATTTTATGAAAAAATAGTGATTTTTTTAATAGTGGACACACTCATTTTTTATTTAAAGTCTACAATAGTTCGTTTGTTGAAAGTGTATGTTCATATAAATTGGCACCTTATTGACTTATCCTCATTTTAATCTTTTAGTTCTTGACTTGTATTTTTGAAAAGAATCATTTAACACTGAATTTAAGTTTTTTGTTGGGTTATAAAAATGCATAAATTTCATTACTCATTTTAGATCAACTGAGGATAAGATAAGTTAGCTCTTTTCAGGTTATCATTGCCCTCATATTGTGAGGTAGATTCATGATTGACAAAGTTAATAAGTTGTCGTAATGTACTCCATACAACTAATGTCAGCAAACCTCACAATGAACTCCATACAACTAATGTTGTCATAGCTTAAGCACAAACACTACGGCTGCTAACTCCAAATAATGGGTAGGGTAGTTCCTCTAGTGGGTCTTCAACTTCCGAGAAGCATAGGCAATCATCTTATCATTCTACATCGGAACTCCACTTACGTGATTCCAGAAACATCACAATACATAGTGAAGTGAACAACATCTTCGGGTAAAGTTAAAATAGGACTTAACATCAACAAGGTCTTGAGGTTTTGAAAGTTCTTCTCAAACTCATCATACCATGGGAAACTCACACTTTGCCGAGTCAATCTATACAAAGCAGATGCAATAGCGGAGAAGCTCTAAACAAATCCCCGGTAATAACCTTCAAATCCCACAAAACTTTGGATCTCAATAATCGATGTAGGTCTGGTACAACCTCTAACCGCCTCAATCTTGGCTTGATCTACCCGAATACCCTTCTTGGACACCACATGTCTATAACACTCATCGAAAACAACAATTCCCATATCAATTCTCTTGAAAGTATCAACACAAAACACAATTGAAAAATTAAGGTTTGAAAACAAAATTTAATACTTCAAAACATTACACATGGCTTTAAGAAGTTATTAGAGAAAATCATTTCGAAAAAGGACCTAAAAACAATTCAAAATGTCCATTTTAGTTTAGAGCTTGAGTTCTTGAAAAAAGGTCATCATTCCCCAATCAAAATCTCATATTTTGATGTTAAAACCCATAAATAATCAAAGCGAAATGAAGTTAAAGGATTATCTAAGCTTACCCAAGCGATTTAACAAAACCTTTCCATAATCGTCACCAAGGATTTCTCAAGCTCAAAATTGGAAAATAGGGCTTAAACCCCAAAATTTGCTGGCCAAAAAACTCTTTCAGGTGTCGCAAAAGTGACCCTCAAAAAGCTCGGGCATCAAAAAAGTGAAGCCTCCTTCGCTAAAGTGAAGATCGCTTAACCGATAGATCCTTTGCTTAAGCGGAGGTCGCTTACGCAATAGGACACTCGTATATGCAAAGCCTACAGACACCAACAACTCAGCAAACTCTCAAAAATTCAAAAGGACCCTCGGTATATAGTCCTCGTACACACAAACCATATATGAAAATGAATTCTACTCGACGTTTCAGACTCAATGGAACCGTCAAAACACAAATCTGAGGTCTCCTTGTCCCGATATCCATGAAAACTACAAGAAACTAACTCGCGCATAAAAAGGCTTAAACAAGCTTGGGAACTCTCAAAAATTAACCAAGACATCACCTAGGCCTAAAATAATCCTCCTAATATAATAGAACTCTCAAAATCCGATCCTAGCATTCGAACCTCGAATATTGACCAAATTCAGCCTAAACACTATATTTTCCACAAATTCACAACGTAGGACCTCAAATCTTCAAAATGTAACGACATGCTCCCGTCGTTATAGAAAAGCTAACGGGAGAAAATTTGGAGTCAGAAAACTTTTTCATAGTATTTGGATTTTCCCAACCTTGTCCAGATTTGGATGAAATCGGAGTCTTTGAGGTGTAGGGAAATCTGGTAACAATCGGATGAATCATTTATGATTTTGATTACGTGAGTAGTTAGATAACTCGTTAAGGAATCCGTACGACTTTACAGAATTGAATTCGGGCAAGTAGAACTCCCGAAACCAATCTTAGCATAAAGGACATTTACTGAGCATTGTGGGTTAGAGGTGTGTTGTGAAATGGGAATTGGAATTCTTGAAATAGTTCACTGTTTCATTTTGGCCGCTTTGGCTGGGACTTTTGCCGCTTTGCGTCTCTGTTGTGGCGGGCCCGACGTGAATTAAAGTCGTTAATAAACCCCTTAACGACCTCATTATGCACTTTTTGACTTTTTGAGCTAAGGAACGACCCCCCAGGCGACTCATACTTTTTTTTCACCATTCTTGAGGCTTAAGGTATGTTTTTCACTCCCCAAATCCATTTTTCGATCCGTAGAACATAATAGAATGGGTGAATATTGATGGGGAGGGTTTGGTTATGGATTCTATGGTGAAAACAACCCTAATTTGGATAATTGGGATCATGGGTTTGATCTAGGGTTCGTAGAATTGTTAGTAATCCGGGTAATTAGTGATTGTTTATTGATTCCCATATTATATTATTTGTTTGTAGACCAAGAACAAGAGGAAGGAATTCGGAAAGGGAAGGATCAAGTTTCTTAAGGTTTCAAGCTAGTTTCGAGGTAGGTGATGGTTGTGATTCTATGATTGTGTGATGTATTCTTGTTCTTGCTTCATTATAATACTTGTATATGTATGAATGTTGCAATGTTGATCACACTTGTTGTAAATGAGATAGATAATTGATGAATGCCATGAAATCATGACTTAAATGTATGATCTTGATGATATACTTGTGTTTGTGATTGTGGTGTGTTGAATGGATCAGTTGCCACGTTCCGGCATAACTAACTTAGATCGGCTGCCAGTTTTCGGCATAACTATGGAATCAATTGCCACGTTCCGGCATAAATATGGGATTGGTTGCCACGTTCCAGCATGCTAACTATTTGGGTTTGGGTTCCATGAGAGGACCAATGATTTGATATAAAATGTGAGTTGATTGTTGTTCGCAAATGTTGATAATATTGAATATGTTGATATGTATGCATGTGATTATAATGTTGTTTGACTTGTTTATGTTGCATTAGTGGGATAGTCGTGTGATCCTACCAGTACACTGTGGTTGTGTACTGATTCTGCACTTGGTCTTATTTTGTTGAGTGCAGGGCATCTTCAAGCGACTATTGACAGACCTCACTTAGAAAATCAGTGATCGTCATTCGAATTCAAGGGTGAGCCAACTCTTTCGGGCTGCCATGGAATTTTCTTTCGTCTATGTCCACCATTTCCGGACTTAGACATTTGTTTTAGCTAGATGATTAGTTCATTAGTACGGAGTTGTATCCCTTCTTGTTTAGACTTGGATCATTGTTAGATGTTTTGGTACATTGACTTTTAGGTTCTAGGTTGTTCTTCCGCATTTTTAGTTATTATTGTTAGACTTTTGTTAGATTTTATAGGAACTCTATTTTTATTTACGTAGTGTTTGATTTAAATGCCTTGGTTTTCAGATTATTTGCTTGGTTGGGTTGTAGTAGTGGTTCTCCCACCGGAGTGATAGTGTGGGTGCCAATCACGACGATCTGGGTTGTGACACAAAAAGACTCAGAAACTGAAATCGAAAACTATCAAAGACTAGATTCCACAATACATAACGAATGAAATCGACTGAATTCCATTCCGACACTCGAAACTCCAAAAGGCTCCAAAATCCACTTTCTTAATAATATAAGCCTTCCAAATTCAAAACTTACAAAATTCTCAACTTTTAACTCAAATTTGAAAACCAGCTTTTCAAACTCAATCATATAAGACTCGTGGTTGATATCGGGAGGGACAAAATGATAAATTCACATAGCTTTACAACAATGACCGACCGGGTCATTACATATATATTAAGTATCACTCCTTCGATTGTTCATTTTCATTGCACAGTCAAGAGTTCTTTGTTTGAAAAGTTATTTGAAAACATAATTAACTGCAATCACTAACAGTTGTATATATCTAACATTCACCCACTTTAATTCTTCATTTTCATAGAGTAACATATATTTCTCCGCTTGGAATCTATTTAAAAATATTAAATCATATCATTAATGTAGTAATTAATGCTACAATCACCTAATTAATTAAACACTAACCCTTCAACTGTTCATTTAATTGAATAATAAATATTTCTCTTTTATTAGGATATGTTCATCATTCACCTCTTTTGACCGTTCATTTTCACTACATAAAAAAAATCTTCAATTTTTCATTCTTGCGAAATTGGTGAGTTTTATTCTTTTCACTTTTTTTACTATTGAAATTAGGATAAGCATTTTAGACTAGAGATCTGTATAGATATAGATCTTGGTTCATAAATTCAATTATTTGTGCCACCATGTTTTTTTGAGAAATCGTGTCGTTTGATCCATAACAATTTTCGCATATATATGTTTTGATATCTGATTGAGTCACTGGTCAATTTGTTCATTTTCTTATAATTTTGTACTTGCTCATTCGAACCGAGATTATTATGTTGGGACAACATATTAGTTTTAATATCACTAGATCCAAAAGTTTTAATGTATGCTTCTAAATTCACATAATTCTATCTTCTCTCAAGAGGCAAATTCATGATTGAGATGACATCAAATTTTATGCTTGTGATTTTTTAACTCATCCATTTTTTTTATTTATTTCATAACTAAGATTGTGTCTTGCCTTCGTTTATCTAATTGATTATTTGAAACTATATATCATATTGATGGTCATGCATGGGGTTTATTTTCTAGGTAAATTCAAGAAATGATTGGCTAAAATGTGCCACGATCCAAAAATGAAGAGATGGCACTTGTTTATTCCAACCAAGACAAGTCAGCCTCAACCCAACAAAATGAAAGGAATGCATAAAGATAGAGCAAGAACAAGATAAAAGCAGAAAACTTATTATTTCTATTAACACCCCAAAACTTGGTTGTCATGTGATTATGCCAGTAATGTAAAACAGAATCCGAAATACAAGTCTCAATATTTTTGTTTTTCAAGTAGAACAAAACGTAAGGTAAGGGAACAAAAGGACCCACCAGAACGACAAGCAACTATCTCACAAAATCCTTGACAAGCCTAAGAAGAAGAAGAAGAAGAAGAAGAATAAGAAGAAGAAGAAGAAGAAGAAGAAGAGGAAGAAGGAGAAGGAGAAGGAGAAGGATAAGGAGAAGGAGACATGGGTCCGGCCTAGGAACCTACACAGGTGTTGAAGCAAGGAGTGAGTACCAACAACATGGTACCCAGCAAGAAACTTAATAAACAAGGTAACCTATCTAGAATTCGAATACTCCTTTTCATCCCAACCGAACCTCCTCATCTACAACCTGCACAGAAATCAGCCAAACCTGAGAGTTCTACAATATACAGTTCACAAGGCCTCAAAATTCACAGTCCAAAGTCACAAGCCAACAACCAACACGTATCATGTTGTCGAATCACAAGTATCAAATAAATCAATCAAAATTTACCAATAAGTCAATCATAAGCATCAATATGCATCAAAACACAAGAATCAACTTTCCTCGGAACCATTTCCCATCGGCTTTATGTGATATCGCTAGCGGAAATTATTTTCCATTGACTTTGTATCAAATCACTAGCCCGAACTATTTCTAATCGATTTTAAATCAAATCACTAGCCGGAACCATCTCTCATCGACTTTATATCAAATCTCTAGCCGGAACAATTTCCCGTCGACTTTATATTAATTACACTCGCCAGAAATGACCTCGACATCAATGATGATCATATGTCTCGTCACCTGTTCAACAATCAATGCACACAAGCAGTATCACACTACATGAAAATATAATAAGTCATACATTCAAGCCATCAAGACATTTCCACTAATCAATCAAATAGGGTCACATTATTGCAGTAAAACTTTGTCGTTATCATCACAAAGCCTTTTCATTTACCCCTTCTTTATTTATTAACATTAATCAAGTGGAGCAATAAAACCCCTCACCTCATTCCCAATTAATCCCCAACACATATAAATTAAGAGATGTAGATAATTCTACTAGATTACAAAGTTTAAGAGATCACTTGCCTTAAACCAATCAATTAATTATTCCAAGAGTTTAATTTTCCCCTTCCGAATCACTTCTGAAGACACACAACATATATACAAGCAAGTATTCATAATAATTTCTTGGAAACAATAATACCCACATCAATTTCCTTGAAAACCTTTCAGATAATGCTAGTAACTCTCGTCAAATGCAAAATATATGGCATTCTCCAACGACTTCATTTTCTCATAATACACACTTTCATGGAGCTTCAAGTATGGATTTTGTGGAAAATAGTACACATCCAACATTTTTTAGCAACATACAAACTATCATGGTGGTAGTTCATCTGCTTCAACACATCAATCTAATGCGTTTATCCAGCCTTCAGGCGATCCAATGAGATATTTAAGAAAACATGGATTATGGGACACAGGAAGAGATGTCTATTTCTTGAGAAATAATATTGATTCTCAATCACTTTCCCTTGTAAGTGGTGAAAGTGTCGCGATTACTTTTATATCCTATAATGAATGTGGTCTGTGTTGATAATATCTTCACTTATCTTTTCTTTGCATATTTGAATCATATTCTTGGTATTCTTATAATGGAGGGATTCTTTATAATTTATTTGAACATGTAGGGTGGCATTATCATGGAGCCAGGTCACAGTGTTGATCATATTGTTATAGAGTTCAGCATTCTTCAATATCTAGTGTGATTTTAGATTTCATTTTTACCTCTTTTTATTTTACCATTGAGCTATTTAATAGTCATATTATATGAGAACACATAATACATGGTCTCCACTTGTTACTAAATGATTTTTCCAATTCATATTATACTTGCATGAGTAGTTAAAATTATTTTGTCTAACTATATTAGGATATGTGTATTCTCTTAGTTGTCCTTTATTTTTAGTTGTCAAAAGTAATCTTCATATGTTGAATATGTTATTTCTTGTCATACATACATTTCATGAAATGTGTGGTAATGATAGTAAGCAAAAGCAGTCCATTGCTACTGAGAATTTAAAGTCACAGGATGATGAAGAAGATGAACATGGTGATGCTCAACATGATGACATTTTTTATGATGGGGAAATGTCATATGAGGTAATAAACTAAGATATTGTACTTGAAAATGTGATATGCTTAGAGTAATCGATCTTTTTTTCAAATAACAAGTGATTTGTACTTTGGGCGTTGTTGGCACTCCAAGAACGTATAGGTGGTGTGGAAATTGGATTGAAGAAAAGTGTTATTTCTAAACTTCTGAAGCAGAGCAAGTACCAATCAGCCAAGATAAAAAAATTATAGTGAATCTTGTTGCATATGTTTGGTGAGGAGAAAAAACTTTGGTTGCTTCCTCTTTCACTTTTAAGATTGTCTATGACCTTATTCAATTATATGTTTTTCTATTTTGGAATGTTTAGGATACTTATGATGACGGGGCAGAACTAGGAAAAATAAATTGCGGACATGAATTTCATTATCAATGCATCAGAAGGTGGCTGAAGAGAAACAATTCTGGTCCCATTTGCAGAAGGATTGCTTTGACTCCATTTGATAGAAATCTTTGGTTCTCATTTTAAGCAACCGATTTCTCAGACCTAATATTTAGTTAATTGGTTTGGTTGACACATTACATTGTTTTATGTCGTGTTGATTAATGGAGTATAAACCAATGGAGTAGAATTATTCAAATGATAAACTGTGGATGTACATTTTCAGTTTGATGTCTTTCTTAGCTTTCGGTATGAGTCATCAAACCAATCATTTTATCACTTTTAGATTGGAATATGTCATTTTTTTTACTTTTTTGGTATGGTGTCCTTTCAATATGAACTAAGGTAGTAATTAATAGTTTTGAGATTTTAGTTTCCACCAAAGTACTAGTAATATTATTACCTTATAATATTTTCTATTGCTCAAATTTCTCAGTCAATCTTTCCGGCATATCAAAAAATTAGTGACGTTATTAATTTTGATAGTTGATTGAATTGTAAAATTTTGATTAATCATTTTCTTGATAGTTGAAAATGATGATATATCATGAATCAATATTTTGTGTTATTTTTCTATGTTTTGGTGCAAATTCTGATAATTAACTCTAGATATTTATAATTGTTTATTGATTCCAAATTTCTTATTGAAAAGTAAATACTTTCATGAACCTAATATAGAAGTGTTTGGTATAATAGTAGGTGTTTAAATTTCAATATAAAATATTTGATTTCTCCGTCATGTTTATTTATTGTACAACCTCATCAAAAGGGACAGTCCTATGCACTAAGCATATGTTATGCATGGGATCCAGAGAAATGTGGATCATTAGAATCTATTTTAGGTAAATTTTATCTTGTATGATTTTGGAAGAGGCTTGTTGATGAGTCCACAAATTGGAGTCATTTAGGGCTATATTTTGATAGAATTAGTCCTCAAATGCATATTTTGTCTCAATATCTGATGAAAATCCTTAAGTTTTAGGTATTTAGAGTTTGAGGCTAAGTTTGGACAGTACTTGGTAAGACGGAACAAAGCGGCTGAAAAGAACGAAGAAATGAAGGCTTGAGGATCGCTGAGCCCATATGGTGAGTCACCGATCAGCCTGGAGATCACTTTTTGTTCCAGTGTGCTGAGCCCTGAAGGGATAGATCAAGTTGGCGATGAAATGGAGCAGTCGGCGTGTCGCCGAGTAGTTCCGTTAAGCAGTACCATATCGCCTAACGACTCAAAGCGCGAAGATGCTGAAGGCCAAAGCAAGAAGGTGATGAAATCGACCAAAAGGTGATCGCCGAGTGTATCGGTGATCGCGACTAACTGCGTCGAGTGATCCGATGTAGCACAAATTTTCAAACACTATAAATACTTGCTTAAATTTCTATCTTAATATCATATCACTATTATTATTAGAACTTTTTACAGTTTTTGAGAGAGTCTAAGTTTTAGAGGGTTTTGGAGACTTTGTTCTAAGACCTTGAAGATTCAAAGGGTTTCAACTCCAAGAAATTGGACGTAGGTCTCTAAGATTCTTCACTCTTGACGTGTTTTAAGACTTAATTTTTAATACCCAGTTGATGGAAACTGATATTGGTATAGATTTTTATCTCTTTTACATGTCTAGCTAAAATCGCAATTCTTGGGGTGTGATTTTGTGAATATGGGTTAGATTATCTGTTGGGTCTTGCTTGTTGATGGTTTATTAATTGTTTAAATGTGATTTCATTTAGTAGTTGTGTATGAACTTAATGGGATTGTATTTGCATATACGATGTCATCTTAGTGTTTTTGGTTTGCTCGAGAGAGAGGTCGTAAAACTAAGACTACTAAATTGATAATCGGTGGTATTAGGTCGACATGGGTTTAGCTCGAGAGAGTGAACCCTAGTCCTTTTTCCCACACAATTAGCTCGTGAGAGTGTGGTCAAAGGCGGAGGCTGTGCTTAACACGGTAACTAGGTGTTCGAGAGAAACCGAGTTGATTCGGGGTAGGTTGCTCGAGAGAGAATGTACCCCCACTATTGTCTAGCCTAGTCACACATACTCAACAATTTACTATCAAAAGCATGTACCCGATAATTTAGTCTATCCTGTATTCCTATCACATCCCCAGAATCCTGTCTTTCTATCTCATTTTCTTATATTTTTACTATTTTTGTTATTAGCATAATACAAAGCCCCCATTGATAATTGACGCTTGCATCATCCCTTTGATTTAGTATGTTTTTATTCGATAATGTTTTTAGCTATGACTAATTAGAAGTAGATTTTATTTTTCTATTAATTCTCAAAACCACTCGCTATGGGAACGATCCTAACCCTTGGTTAGGTTATATAACTACACGCGATCATATGGCACTTGAAATGAACTAGTGTCAGTTGATTATGTCTTTAAATATCAAAATGGAGCCGCTGTCGGGGAGTGGTGTTATTAGAGAATTTGTAGTTAAATAGGATTTTCGTTCTTGTTAGTCATAGTTTACTAACTTTATTTTTAGTTTTATTTTTCTTTGAGTTGTTGTTATAGGAAGATACCCTGAGCATGGCTGAGGGAAATGGTGGCAAATTGGCTTAGGCGAATCACGAAGTCGAGAGGGACTTCAAATTAACCGCACTGGTAACTCAGCTGAACGATTTGGCCACCAAAATATCAGAGGTGGAAGACCAGTGCAAAAGTCAAGGGAGGTACATACCCCCTCATGAGAGGAAAAGGTCTAGAGATAGGAAAAACAATAGTGTCGAGGATACACTACAAATCATTCTTCAAAAATCACCGAATAAGATCGAGTGCTGGGAGGTGAAAGAGAATATTGAAGTGTTAAATCAGATGATTGGCTCTCATTCTAGATCTATATAGCTAATCAGGACACTCATGAGTTATGCATTGCTTCCTTTCCACTCAAATGAACTATTGGGGTTACCTAGTAACAATAGGGCCAACCCCAATGATGGAGAGTAAGTAAAAGACTTGCGTCGGGCCACAACGTTAACTAAGGCGCTTCTTGGGAGGCAACCCAAGGTCTTAAATGCTTTAGTTTTGTTTTTGTAAATAATGGTGTGTTGGTTGTGCAGGTTTAAATGCGGAAAGTCTTTGAATAATGTAGAGTGGCGAGCAAATGGTCCAGTCGGCGTATCGCCGAAGAGGTCGGCGTGCCCAATTTGATCCGTCGTGTGACTCAACACAATTTCAACTAAGAGCCTGTAAAACTCGGCAAGCTCAAGAGCAGTTTGGTGAGTCGCCGACCTAAGACCGCCGTCTTAACCCCCAAGAAAATGAAGGTCCTGTAGAAATCGGCGGGGTAAGTGACCACTCGGCGCATCACCGAGTGGATCGGCGGACAAGACAAACGTCGCCGAATGGACGCGAACAGGGCAGTTATATATGGCCAAAGGTTTTAAAGTTTCAAACTCTTCACTTTCCCTCGCTTTTAAACTGCACAAACTCACACCAAGTTAGTATTTTCAATATTCTTGCTTTCAATAAGTATTTTGGTTGTTGATTGGTGTTCGGAACTAGGATTTCTTTGTCGTCTAGCATTTCAATCCTATTTTAATCGGCATCTAAGGTTGGTTTCCGAATCCTGAGTTTACTTTTAAAAAAATTGTACTCATTCGCAATGATCATATCGTCTTGTCGTGTGTTGGGCCTCTCTGATAGGATTAGATTGTTTAAATGCCAATTTTAAGTTAATAATTTTGCCCGTATTGTTTTGACCATCAAATGCCTATCAATTTATGCTTTTAGATGAATGAAATTTTATGAGGTTGTGATTACGTGTTGTTTAGATTGGGTGGGTGAAGTCTAAGTAGCCCATGTTTGCGATAATTGACATATATTTCTCAATGATAGAACGGGTGACACCTTTCTTAAGGGCAATTGTCGTCAAGTGGCCAAAATTTGGCAAAACCGAAAGAAGTCTGAGTATTTCGGGGTGATGGGTGTTATGGGTCTGCGCCTAATTTAGCTATTGCATGTTTTGATTTTGTTTTCGGGGGTTGCGGGGTTGAATTGGAGAAAGTGGATTGAAAATAGGCACGTTGGGTCATTTGGCAAGCTGGGTCGAGCTCACCGAACCACTCGGCGGTTCTCCAAATCACCTCTTATCGCCTTAAATTTATGGCTATATGTGTCGTTTGATTCTGTAACTTTTGGCTAAAAACTTGAGGTCACCGAAAACACTCGGCGACTCGCCGAAAGCACTCGGCGACTCGCCGAAAGTATTCTTGATCTCCCTTTGTTTGCACCCCTGAACCTTTGTTGCACTATAACTTTCACAGGACAAACCTTTGATAGCTGAAAGTAGTCGGTGATTCGCGGAAAGAGCCTTCCCATCGCCGACTTGCTATAATTTTTGAGACATTCCCTTCGGCGAACCCGACCTAGCTCGCCAAAGAGGGTCGGCTAGTTTGTCTGCAATAAGTTTTCTGTGCTTCAATGTGATTATTATTTAACTTGTCTTTAATGTTTTGCAAATTTGGTTCGAACTAATCTAACCATCCCACCCCAGAAGAAAGCACGGGGCATTACTATAAACGAATGGGGATTAGGTCCTCCAAAGAAGAGAAGGCAAGAACTCCTATCGGGAGACAAAGGCAAAAGAAAGAAGCACATAGCTAAGAAAGTAGCCGCGGATAACCGGGTTGAGTTGTATGAACCTGAAGACGAGCATCCCTTAATTTCTCGAAGGGATGAGATCCAGGATAGATCTCAAACGACGTCCACCAGAGTCTCTTCAGATGACATTCCTCTGGCAACAGACTCAGTGCCAACTCAGGCACCTCATATGATCTCCATGCCTCCTGTCGTCCTTCCTCCCAAGCTCATAAACAGATTAAAAGGTGATGGTTTAACAACCATCCTTGAAGAAAAGCTACTTTCAATAGAAGGTTTAGACGGGAAGTATTTAGAAGTGAGTGAGACCCTCCACTACCATGAGTTTGAGAATTTCACCAGGCCCCGTGGCCCTTACATTCCTACCTGGGTCTGGGAATTCTATACATCTTATGGGGAGTTGATGCCCAAGAGCAAGAAAAATACGAGCGAGTTCAGGACTTCAGGCCAGTAAAGTTGGTCATGGTCAGAGGTAGGAAAG